CTTGATTTTGTTTACAGTTTTCCAGCCAAGATTTGATTTACTTTGGAGTCTTTAAAAGCACAAGTGACTCCACTTCCTTTGGGCATGAGGATTAAAAAAATAAGCACGTGTGTCTGTCCACATAATTCCAGCCCCAATTTGCTGAGAAGGAATTTCACATTGAGTTTGCTCCTATAGGGTCCCTGTGGGGCTGGGATTTCTAGGTGCAGCTGTTCCCTCCCAAGTGTGCACACCAGAAGCTTCAACCAAATTTTTCCATATATCCTGTCAGGTGTGTGAAATTCTCACTCTCTCTTCCAGAGGTCTCCAAAGGAGACCGGGCACGGTGACRAGTGCACTGGCCACGCTTCTTTTTTTGACAGCAGAGCATGACCCCACGCGKTACAAGCCTGGGCGATGGGAAGGGTGCCTCTCCTGCGAGCAGGGGAAAACACTGGGATCGCCAGGCAGGGGGAGGAGTCCTCAGCTCCCCTCTCCKGGAGCACAGAGAAACCTCCCTCTTTGGGAGGCAGCCGGGCAGCAGATGGCCGGGCTGCGGCGCTGAGCTGTCAGGGGTGTATCATTTCTCTGGCTGTTCTGGGCTCTGATACCCATGGTGGAGAGGAGCCCCTCCCTCAACTTGCTCCATCTTCTTTATGCCCTGATTTTTTTGCAGCTGCTACTAAAGATCACAGGCAACTTGAGCTGCAGCCTCAGTGGTACTCTTGTGGACTGTCTGACACTGTTCCTCCCCTTTGACACGGGTGTGCTAGGTCRTGTCCCTCTCTGTGCCCCAGATTTCCTTCTGTACATGCAACATACAATTAAAACTTGCAACCACAGTTGCAATTCAGCTTTGACCTCCTTTCTGATCTTTGCAAAAAAAGCTAGGGACCTCTGACAACAACCCTGTGGTTTCAGAGTGTAGCCACGGATAAGACTAGAAATGCACTGGGCTCTGAAAAGATCATCTGCATCCATGTGGGATATACCACGTAGCTGTGCATGTGCTATTCTACGACTGCCCCACTACAGCTATCCAAATTGCTTTGCACACCRGGAGGCAACTGCAAAGTAAGGGTTGTTTTGACAAGTGAGGGAAACTGTATCTCAGTTTTATGAAATATTAATGGTGCGAGTCAAGTTGGCATGGGAGAAGTTTTACAGGGTTAGAGTTCTTTGAGGTATCTTTTCTGTTATAGTTGATTTCTGCAATACTTTTCCTTGGTTAGTGAGCTGTATGGAAGCTGCTTGTGCTGTATGTGAGGAAGTGGCTGAGATGTGGTGAGAGTTGTGGACCACGGTCTCACACTTTTTTTGTAAATTGTTTTTAGGACTCCCAACTAACCTGAAAGTAAGAGGGTTGATTTTCCTTTAGATACATGCCCTGAGACAGAATATGGCCATGTAGCAGTTCAACCTCCTTGGGAATGCTCCAGTTTGTAGAGAAAAGGATGTGACTGACCTAACACTGCCTCCACTGGTTAAGTGTTTCTACACATCTCAGTGATGCTGAGAACCTCTGGAGAAGAGCTGCGAACCTCTGGAGAAGAGATACATCTGTCTCCTCAGCTCAGTGATTTCCTTCCTGCCTTCTTCCCACTTACAAAAGGGCTTTTTGAGGTTCTCAGCTACAGTAGAGACTCTGTAGGACTTGGCATAGCTGCAGGTGTATTRCTGTCTTACTAGTGAGCTTGAAAAAAGGTTATTTAACAGACTCTATCCAAGTCCATTCCTGGATCCAGTCTGTCTGATTCTTGGGTTTGAATTTTGCAGATAATTCTGAACAATTAGTCCTTGGCATTTCTGCTTTGCACAGGAAAGAACTCCAAGGGCAGTGTTCTCAAAGATTGCTGTGCTCCCTGCAGATTTTCTTCTCTAAGCCAAACGAGAAATCTTTTCAAAGGGAAATCTCACAGAGATGGGATAAGTGAAACTAACTGTAGGTGTGGCAGACAGGGTGAAGACGAGCTCCCTACATTTATCTAGAGAAGAGAGGTCGGTTCCCATTAAGAGGGAAAATATAAATTGGGCAAGATTGAGAGTGATTGGGAATGCCTTGAGACATCTGTTTCCCATCTCTGGTTCTCATTTCTATCCTTATTCAAAGCGACAAATGCACAGTAGCTGTCTTTGAAAATTGATGGGGGTAGGAACTCAAAAGTACTCTTAAGAACAGAGCTTGTAATGCATTGAACACGGGGGGATGGCGGAAATTTCTAGTGTTAGCCACTTATGTGAAAGTCAAACTAAAACCAAATTGGTTAAATCAACAGAGCCAATCCCTAGGGGGAAAGAGGGTTACATGGGGAAAGATTTCAAATGATCTTCTGGAATTAAACTGCTTCCTGGATCAGTTTTCTTTGAAAGCAGCCAAAATGATAGAGCAAGATAAGTGAACTCATGCAACTGGTAAAAGTATCTGTCTGATCCATGCCTTCCCACTTTTTTTTAGGTAGAACAAAATAGGATAAAGCCCTTTTACTTTTGTGGTTTCTTCCTGGCAATCCTTCTCATCCACTAGTTATTCAGGATCCTAAGGAAACTGCTTTTTCAGTCAATTTTATTGGAAATAGTCAGAACCCTGTGTATTAGATCTGATGAAATTATCTTCTGCCTTGAGCTCTGACAGAGCTGAAGAACTGATCTGGGGGGAGCTGTAACTCGAATGCTCTTTTAGAGCTTACAACTGTTTCTGTTCTGGAAAACAATCAGAGCTGCCTTTTTTTGTTGATTTTTGAGGTTTTTTTGTTTGTTTGTTTGTTTTTTTTTGTGGTTGGTTGGTTGGTTGGTTTTCTTTTTGTTTGGGTTTTTTTGTTTGTTTCTTTTGTTTGTTTTTTTGTTTTAATCGAATGGCTTCTGTAAATATCTAACATTTAAGACGTGTGATTAAATAACACTCTTAAAAAGTCTGTAAAGGAACCTATTATTACCCTTTTTTCCCAAATCAAAGTCCTTGGTGCGCGTTGGGTCTTGAGGTATTTGARAAAGACACTGTGGGAATGCACAGCTACTTCTGGTAGGTGTACTGTGTACTGAATGTCTCATTTTTAAAGAGGATATTTGCTGTAGTTTTTACCCTAAAATTACTACTTGAGGCAGTTCCAAGGCATTTCATAAAATTGCAGTCCTCCCTTTCTGACTGAACTTTGTCAGCATAGGGGACCGTTTCAAGTTACATTTCTTTGGTTGCTGATATTAATGGGGGTGAAACAGTGATACCTGGGAACACTGATTCTTTGCTTGTGTCATGCAGAAGGGAGCAAGCTCCAGGTTGCAGAGGGCACTAGATCCAGGTGCACTCAAGCATCTGCTGTTAAATACAACCAGAGAGCTGGCAACAGTCATGCAGTGAGAGGAGAGATCYCTGGGAGGTCAGCTTGCATTTGACGTCAGAAAGAAGCAGGCTGGTGAGGCGAGATCTGCAGGGTGGGAGCATCAACTTCTCTCTACTCAAGGAGGAAGGGAAACACTGCCAGATGGACGTGGCTTGAGGCGTCTGTTCCTTCATTCTCTCAGTCACTGTCCAGTCATGGTCCTTGCAAAGAAGTGCAGTCTTAAACAAATGTGTGAAGACCCCTGTCTAATAGCTAACTTCTTGYTGACTTTTAATGGTCTTTCTTCAGCTGGATCATGCTCCTCTACCTCTTTGTTAAAATATAATAGCTTTTGTAGWAGTTAGCAATTTCTCAGGGAAATGCAATTCTGTAGCGCTGGCGCTGTTCCATTAATCATATAGAGTAATCTGCTTGTGCCAAAAACCTATCAAGTGGAGCTGCCTTTTTGAGAGCTGGTGGGAATGTGTACCCAGTGGTGTTCTTGCTGGCATATGGACTTCCCGTGTGTGCAAGAATGGCTGGGGCATGGGGGGGTCCCCTTTTGCTGTGCTCAGGGTACACAACTCGAGCAGGCCGAGTGAGCCTGGCGAGTCTCARGACTCAAAGTCATACGGGCAGCTCTTCAGAAAGTTTTATATTTAGGGGGACACAGCCTCCCCAGCCCTTTTTCATTCGCTCCCCTGAAATTTTGAGCATTGAAAAKAAAGGCTTAAATCTCATTAAAATGTAATAAAATTACAAAATTTTATATAAAATATAGACAGGAGTTCTTTCAGCCTTAAGCTCCATCAGTGGTCTTCTATATGTCAGATGATGACATTTACTCCCAGTGCCAGATGAGGGTAAGAAATATCTGCTTCCTCAGGTTATATGATGAACTCTTGGGAATGAAAGTAGAACTTAATGTGACCCAGCTCAAAAATGGGAAAGATCATTTTAATAGGGATGTTTATGAAGAGCTTGATCATCTGGGAGAGTACAGAGGAGAGAGTCCACTGTACTGACTCCTTTTTGGGAGGTGCAGTCACGCTGGGGATGAGCCTTGTTGTGTGGCAGGGTCCAAGCCATGTGTGTTAGGTGGGCAGTGCTGATGTCCTGCCAGAGCCACCCATGGAGGAACAGGCAGAAAGTGGCAGCACCTCTGGGGATGGAGAGAGAGTAAGGACCACAAGAGGAATACGGGAAACATACAGCAGCAAAGTGGGGAGGAGGTGATCAGCTATGAAAAGTCTCAAGGCACTGAACCAGGGCAWGCAAAATTACTTTGGAAGAAGTGGGGAGCATGGCTTGGCAATAGCAGATGTGAGGGGCAAATGGAAATCTGAAGAAAACAGTCTCCACATCAAATGGAAGGAGTTGGAAGGGAACTAGGCTCATAAATTTTGTTGCATCCTCTTTTAGTAAAGGGTGGCTGTTGGTGCTAGCACAAGGCACTGCCTGTTGGGATAGAAAGAGGATGAGCTTACTGTCGTGTCTAGCTCAATTCTTTCAGCTTGGAAAAGACAACTGCCTGCGTATAACGTGAAATCCCGTGGTGTTGCAATGAGATTGCTGTGTTTTGGGAATGTTAATGACAGAGTTGCACCCAACCATAGCTGACAGAGTTGCTTGGTGCACCAGGTSTTTCTAGACACGGCAAACTACAGTAAGTAGTTTGTGTGTGACTTTTCTTTCCTTGCTTAGTCCCCAGACGTTTCACAGCTACCTGGAGGACATCATCAACTACCGCTGGGAGCTGGAGGAAGGGAAACCCAACCCTTTGCGGGAGTCCACTTTCCAGGAGCTGCCCCTGCGTACYCGGGTGGAGATCCTGCACCGCCTCTGTGACTACCGCCTGGACGCAGATGACGTCTTCGACCTCCTCAAGGTGCTTTGGGCAGCAGGGATCAGGGAACTGTGTGGGCACAAGAGCTGGGCCAGATCAGTGAATCTTCCTGGGATGAGAAGGGATCACAGTGGGTCAGCAGGTCCCTTTCCCCTCCTCTGCCTTACACAGGCTTGCTCAGGACTCGGGCCCTTTTCCTGTGTGGATGTATTCCTAACACCGGAGTCACTAAGTAAATTGGCTTCATTGGCGACTCTTCCTGCAAAGGGTCAATTTGGAGATGCGTTAATGGTCATGGCAGGGCTGTGAGAGCCGAGACCGCTGCCTTGCTGAGGGATGCTGTGAGATTAAAGGATGGGGATACTGGGGGAGCTGGGGGAGGGTAGAGGGGGGGAGGGAGCTTCTCAGGGMTGTGCGTGACTGTCGCCAGCACTAATTAGACCTTCCCTGTCAGGAGCACCAGAGATGAAATGTTAAAACGAGAGAGACTATTCAAATTAGAGATGCCAATCTAAATCCCTCCCTGGACAGAGAGTGAACGTCGCCTTCCCCCTGGAGTAACATTTTCCCAGCTYGTCCGGGAGGAGCAGCTGTACTGCTGCTGTGGCATGGTGGGAGGGGAGGAAGGAGGGAGGTGTTTAGGGAGGGGTGTCACCATGTTTTGTGTGACAATGTGGCCGCTTTTCAACTTGTCACCGTCTGGCGGGGGGCTCCCGGTGGGCGCAGGGCTTGGACGCCGACAGCCTCCGCGTGGAGCCGCTGGGCGAGGACAGCAGCGGCGCCCTGTACTGGTACTTCTACGGCACGAGGATGTACAAGGAGGAACCGGTGCCCGGGAAAACCAACGGAGAGCTGGCTCCAGACAGGTAACCCGCCACACGCGTCCCCCCTCCCCGTGTCTGGGTGCGGGCGAGGGGGACACGGCCCAGCCCGCCCGGCTGGAGGGGGCTCCGCCTGACTGCTGTTGTGTCGGGGGGGGCTGAGGGGCAGCGCGGGCGGGCCGGAGTTGCCAAGCAGACTGGGAGCTGCCCTCGCCGCGCATTGTGTCGGCTTGCAGCCTTTGTGGCACCGGAGAGCCTGCTGGGGGAGCGATGCTGCCTGCCCCACCGCATTCCTGCCTGTCTGCCCCGCACCGGGCCGGGCCGTGCCGGCGGCTCCCAGATCAGGCTCCCAGCCAGTGGGAATCCCTCTGCTGCCCTCCCCTTCCTGTTGCTGCTCTGATTTAATCCCTCCTTTGCTTGGGTTCCTGGCAGCTGTTGGATTTCCGTGCCCTTCTCCCGTCCTGCCAGCCTCGGTTCCCTTGCTCAGCAGATATTTCATGGTGGTTTTGCCATTTTTCAGGGGATGTGGGGGACAGACAAACACCCCAAATGTTCCTGGGAAAACAGGCAAAAGACGAGGGCGACCTCCAAAGCGGAAAAAACTACTGGAGGAAAATTTGCTGAGGTATGGAAGGGTTCTTCCTGCAATAGATGTAAAATACATACATTCCCAGAGGGAAGTAAAAAGTACTTGTGGGGTTCCCCCAATAAGTATGTATATACCATGCAGCCATAACTTCAATGCAGCTCTGAAGTGAAGCAAGCTCAGGCTTGGTGGATGCTTTGATCACTCTCCAAAGCAAATTCTGACTGAACTGGAAGTTTGCTGAAACAGTGGGCATTACTCTTCCAACCACTTCACTTCAAATTCAGTTCTACTCTGCAGTGCTAGGGAATTTGCTCCTGATAAAGAATATTTCAGTGTGTGGCTTGAAGTCAGAAATTCTGGCCACTTGCATCCATATAGATTTTGGGATGCTTTCCATACAAACTGAAATACTGTACTTGCCAAACTTTAGGCTGTACCCTTTATTATAAAAACTTACAAAGCTATGATAAATATGTATGAAAATATGCATCAAATGTGTGTTCACAGTGTTCTTCTCRCAGTTTTCCTGTGTATTGAATAATTGCAGTGTTCCCTATTCTTCCCCTCAGAAACAGCTGCATTTCGGTGATGTGAAGTAACATACTTATTGTATCACTCTTTCTCTTTCTTTTTTTGGTAGGGAGAAGGCAGAAGAAAACTTGCTTATCCATGAGACTCAGATAAGAAATGGTAAAGAGATTTTGCAGTATCAGGGTTGATACCACCAGCTAATACAGCTCTTAAATTATCAAAGCCCGGAGAAATGCCTGTAGCAACCCAGCCGTTCTCAGGAAAAGGAGAGGCTTTCTGCTGGTGGTTGGGGCCAAATTTGGAAGGAGGGGTTTGTGTTACAGAATGCGGGGCAGCTGGGAGCCTGGGCACCTGCAGGCTTCCTGTTTTATCATGGCTGAGTTTGGGATGAAGAAACCTAACCTACTGGGATACCTAGATTCTAACCTAGAATGTGAGGGCTCATCTAAAAAAGCAGGCTGTGAATGGCCCTYAGTCTTCCAGGGGTGAGATAAACACACGCCCCTCTTGTTAGCAGGTGTGTTTTTTTTTGATGGGGAAGAGAGTGGAGTAAGTGGTGCCAAGATACAGAAGGAAGAACTTTTTTGATCCTCCTCACTTTTCCTTCCTCGTGGCCATTGGGTAGCTGAGCATGGTAAACAATGTACTGGGGGTACCCACCTAAGGGTTAAYGAGGCAAAAAGAGAGTTAGCAACATGATGTGAAAGTGAATTCAAGGGAGCCGGGACTCATTTGTCATACATGGGTATCCACTGGCTCCCACAAAACRCGGGGACTGAGCCTGCCTGTTGCCTCACAATAAAAGGCAAGGGTGGCATTGTCTTTCCCATGCCTCCTTCCCTTTGCCCTTTGTCTTCAGATTTCCTGGCGGCTACTCCGGCTGCTCCGGCTGCTCCGGAGCTGGGCGGCAGAGCTGGAGCAATGCGTGTGAGGCACTGGGGTTTTTATCAGATCATTGTCTTCCAGCAAATTGTGTCACTTCAGCTGCAGAGTAATCTTCTGCTGGCACAAAGCAGTGCCTTAGTCCTATTTGCTATTGAAATGAGTYGTCCATAGGCAGCTGGCAAGGGAATGAGAAACAAGGATACAGGCTCTGGGGGCAGGATGCAGGTAAGCTCCCTGCTGCAGGTGGGCAAATGAGGGCTTTGCATAGCCAGAGCAGCAGAATCCACACATGGCTGGACCTTTGCTGTCTCAGTTTCCAGTCCCTCCCCTGAAGGGCTAAGCTCCAGGCTGGACTGTGACCGGGGATGAGCACACGCACACTCTGTGYCACTGCCACTGCACCCACACACCTGACAGAGGGCGAGAGGAGCCTGCAGATTTCCAGTCTTCCCTAGGACAGCCTGGCAGCTTGCATGTCAGAGCCTCTTGCTGCTCAGATCCACAAAGGGCCCAGAGCCAGAATCAGGTTTTTCACTTCTTTATGCTTTTCATTGTTAGTTTGCTTGAAAATGTGTCAGAAGATTCATGACATCTGCCAGTGGTGCTAATGACCACTGCTTTCTTTCTGGGAGCCAGTGGCCAGCCCTAGAAAAGTCTGAAGGGAGCTGAGAATCCCTCAGCCTGTAGATGTTTGAGCTGAGACTTCCCCCACTCCAAAAAAAAAAGGCCATAATCTTTTTTGCTTAGAGAGCATCCTGGGGCAAAAGGATACAAGTTGCAACCCATGAGACTTCCCTACTCTGTGTAAACATTTGTGGAGCGGGAACCACATTCCCTCTCTCCAGGTGTTCCAACCACAATGCAAGAGAGCCCTTCCTTCGCAATTAATATTCAAATGTTTCACACAAGGTGGAACAGCTCTCAAAGTGTCTTGGTGGTTGGGACGTGCTTCAGAGCAGTAGGTGATGTGCTTCAATCCCACTCTGGATTGAGCAGGGAAGGGATGTGAACTTTTGGAACTTCCCCCTCATCTGGCAGCCCGATGAACCCTGTCCTTCGCTTCCTYTTCTGCTTTTTCAAGTGCCTGCAAACAAAATGTTTCATTTGTGGGGAACAGGAGGATTTTTTCACTGCAGTGCTTAAAAAAAAAAAAAAAAGAAAAAGCTTAGTTCAAATTCCATTATTTTTTGATGGCTTTATTCTGCTGCCAGACTAAATCAAACATTTGCATTTCCCTATGTCCTGCCCTGGCTGACAGCCTCCATTACAAGAAACAAATTCAATTCTTTCCTCCAGTCTGTCGTAACTGGAATGTTGGGGATGTCGCACARCCCATGTGTTGCCATGTGCCACCATTATTTCTTCACCTGTGTGCTTCCTGTGTGTCTTGGCATCACTGTCATTGTCATTAGGGGAGGTAGCAGTGCTTTTGGTGCATGAAGAGAGCTTTGTGTCTATAGCAAAGGGAATGTTTTCCATAATGTTTTCCAGTGGCCATTGCCAGTGTCTTTTGCTCTTCCTGAGCCCTGAGAAGAGAAGAGCAGGGATTGAGAGGAGCTGTTAGTCATAACTGCTGTGGAGATAACATCCTTTCATGTTTTTGAAGGCTCCCAAGGGCCTGGCCGTGGGACATGGTGGCTGCTGTGCCAGACGGAAGAGGAGTGGAGGCAGGTCACAGAGAGCTTCAGAGAGAGGACTTCCCTTAGAGAGAGGCAGCTCTACAAACTCTTGAGTGAAGACTTCCTGCCGGAGATCTGCAACATGATTGCACAGAAGGTGAGGAGACATGGCATCCTGTTTACCTCTCTCTGACCTCTTCCAAGAGCATGGACACTTGCTGAGTGAAGGASTGCTAAACCCAAGCAGCCTGTCACCCCGTTCTTCTCCCCCCACCTCCAGCCAGCAAGTGTCATGGATGTGGGGGCTGTTGAGCTTGTCAGTGTGGGGAAGACTCTCCCCCATGCTGGGGCAGGGCTGGAGCTGGTGCTCAAGGATCTGGTTCGTGACTGCACAGCAGCRTAGGTAGGATGGCTGAAGGGGTTACTGTCTTCAGCCGTGTTCTGTGTCCCTTTCCTGCTAGCAGGGGATCTCTTTGCTTTTGAACTGCTGCGATTTACAGCCTGGCTTTTCTATGCAAACTGCCCGTGATTCCACTTTTACTGCCGTTTCTCTGCTGCCTCTGCTGAAGGGSCACTGGCTGCTTAGCTGTCCTAGCTAAGTCTGCTCTGAGCTGGAGTGTCAGAGCCCCAAAACTCTGAAGGGTATTTTCCATCATCTGAAGGTTTCCAGGTGGGACGGATCTGGAAAAGGATTCTTCGTCTGGATGGCTGTGTAAAACAGGCTCTGCAGTCAGCGTGATGTTCTTGGACTGAGTTCAGTTTGCTTGTTTGCTACCCTTGTAAAGCTAATAGGGATTTCATGGTCACTTCTAGCCCTCAGAGTTTCTCCTGCCAGTGTCACCGATGTGCCCTAATTTCCTCCACTCTCTTTTTCCTTCCCTCAATTCTCAACCCTGTTTCAGGAGAAGCGTCTGCAGCGGACAGAGTTTTCACCCAGGTGGATGTCTGACCATCAGCCCATCAAACCAATCAAGCAGGAGGTGAGGGGGGGTGCGAGGGGGAGGAAGAYGGAGGGAGGCGAGAGCAGATGCCTCCTGGGGGAAAAAATAAACCGCAGCATCRCTATTCAGTGGGAAGGAGTCGCTTGAAAGTGCTTGTGCTGAAAGAGAGATGGGTGGTAATGCCCATCAAAGGCAGGCTGACACCCGGGGTTTCTATGGCAAGCAGGGAGGTGCTGCCCTCTGGATCGCAGAGGTAACCGGCCTTGCCACAGACCCTGCTGCAGCTGCATATGGAAATCTGCGCTCAGTCTGGGGAATTCCACTTCAATGAAAGTGCTGGCACATTCGAGGCAGTTCAAAGAAAAGTTGAAGAAGGATGAGAGGGCTAGAAGAACCGGCTTACAAAGGGAAATGACAGAAATTCAGCCAAGGGGAAAACGTGAGGCTGCAAACACATGAGGGTGCAGATAGCGCCGAGGGAGAGAATGACTGATGCAGTATGGAGCTGAGCTAGGAGGGGGTCAGCTGGAAATGGAAGTCACAATTTAGGCTGCTTAAAGRAATGCTTATCAAACTGCAGCCTCGTGGGCTCAAACAACGCTTTCCGTGCCTCCTCACCCTCATCTCCTCTCCACCCATCAGTGTAACAGCACTGCTGCTCCTTGTGGGTCTGTGCAGTGAACCAGACCCAGGAAAATGACTGGAGTTAAATATAACCTTTTTCTTTGGTCAGGGTTATTTTTAACATAGATCGGYTTTCCGATCCAGTTCACCACACAACCCCTAACAGTCACTCCAGCACAGCCGGGGACACGGGGCTGTGGAGATGGGGGGTCTTTGAACTGGCAACTGCTACCCGAAGCAATCGGKCAGACAGCACAGGATKAGCTTCAGAGGCAAAAATTGTCTCRATTCTATCAGGTTGTGGCATAATCTCTCACTGTACATGTGAAGAAAACGTAGTTACCTGGTGTTTTGTCAAACCCTGGGAAATTAAACTGCAGGGAATATGCTGCATGAGCCAGAGTCTGGGGTTGCCCCAAAACAAAGGAGAAAGTACTGTTCCCCTGCAATAAATGTAATTACATAGAACAGATAAATAAAAGGAAGGAGGGAGGAACCTCTCATCATGCTGCAGATAAAAGCCTGCCAAGAGGAAAATAAGACCCCAGTGATGGTCAGTTCGGGGCCAGAATTGCTCTCTGCAAAGCCCACCACGCAGGAAGCACAGGGACACGTGTTTGTTCACAGGCAGCAGAAATCCCAGGGGAGGAGGGGAGTGGGAAACACATGGAGCCTGAATGATGCTAATCAGTACCGCAGGTGCTCCAGGTCTGCTGCGGCAGAGGGCTGTTAATTGCCGCCTGTGGGCCAGTGAAACGTTTCCAGCGAGCAGGGGGCCCTCCTGGCACCCGCTGTGCCGGGACGCCGAGAGCCAGCCAGTGCCACAGTGGTSATGCTCACATTGCTCCCCAGCAGGATGGGCAGTCGTCCCTGCCATGGGGGAGCCAGGGAAGGTGCCAGCTTGTCTGATGGCTTGTTCTCCAGGTGAGGATGGGCTGCAGGCGAGCCTGGGGGAGCAAACCTCAGCCCGGTGCAGGTGACCCCTTTCTCCAGGCTGCTGCTTGACTTTGAGATAGAACTGCTCCGTGGGCTCCTGATCCTGTGGGGGATTTCTCAACAGGTGGTTCAGATTAGCTCCTCATTAAGAGCTGCCTGAGCAGCACCCTCATTAGGAGAGYGCTGCGGAAACCTGAGCGGGAAGGGTTGGCGGACAAGGGGCCGGGGCACTCGGGGCACCCGCGCCTTCTGGCCTTCTGCCCCTGAAGTCTGATACCCACTGTCTGGAGAGCAGAGCAAAAGGCTGAAGTTTGGCCCCTTCAAAATCCCGGGGTCAGAGGAAGGCAGTGATGTTGTGTCCTGGAGTGCTCTCTGCCGGAGGGAAGGAGGCGGTGATGCATTGGTCACAGTGGTGTTTATCCTCCGAGTGGGGAGGACGCTGGAGAAATGCCCTTTTGGCATCTTTGTGGTCAGRAAGGAAGTTTAACTTGTGTTTGGTTCTTACTTTTATCGTTCCAATAAGYGTTTGCTTTCACCAATCCAGTAGGAGTTTGTTGGTTCACGTTCGCATATTTTTTTAACCCCGAGTTGAGCGCGCTCATCCCCAGTGGACTTAGGTGGGACACTGGGCAGAGGGTCCCTCTGCAAATCAGGTTTTTTCTGTGTCTGAAGTGTYTCTAAGAGCCCATACAGCATTGTTGCTGCCCTGCAAGTGCTGCAGGGAGCRCATGAGGTTGTGGACGTCTGCTGCAGTCGTTGTGGCTCACTACTCTGTTTTTGTGGTTTCTGCTTTTCCCTTTTCTTTGCTTTGCAGATCTGGTAAGATGACACTTTCTCCTTCATTTAAAAGTGTCACGTTGCTTTGTTGATGCCACATTTGTGGTGGGTTGATCTGGAGCGTGCTGTGGATCCTGTGTCATGCCAYTGAAGCATAGGGTGCTGAATGCACCCTGCAGGCTTGGAGAGGTCCTGGTGTGAGCCCTGCAGCTCATGGTGTTGTGTTCCTGTTTCCCCAGGATGAGAAGGTGGAAGTTGTACTAATCCAGGGAAAGGGAAGCTCTCAACAGTATACAAGTAATCAAAGAAATCAATGTGTTGTGCCAGGCAGGCTTAGATCTACTTAGATCTACTGGTTGTAAAGGCTGATGGTCACATCCTCATTAAAATACCTTTGCGTACYAAGTTGGGTGGTTGGTTCCTGCTCACCTCTTTCTCTTACTGCAGAACCTTACTGTTTTGGTTCCTACTGCARCTTAAAGATTTATCAGGGAAGTTAGAGGAAAACTGTTTGACAGTGGCCAGGATCCAGTCTGAAAGGAAGTTGTTTGCAGCTCATGAGTAGTAAATGAGATGGTAGAGCAGTTGAGAATGGGGTATAAAAATAATCAAAAGTGGAAATGTCGAACACAATTTTCTAGGTTCTTGACTTCTTGTACTTGTTGTAGTACAATCCTGGGTGTCCTGGTGTTTGGATATTGATCAGGGAGAAAAGGTGTGMGAGACAACTGGAATAACCATTCCAGGGAGTTGAAAGGATTGCTTTATAAGGAAACATTTAATCTAACTGTAGAAATGTGGGAGTGCTGTGATGAGCAAGTCCATAAGGTAAAGGCTAAAATGTGSCTGAAGAAGAGGAGAATTTATGTTGACCCAGAAGAGTGAACTAGGAATAACTGGATGGAAACAAACTTGAGAAACAAACTTTACATTGATTGTGAGGAGAAGCTGGCTAATCTCAAGGCACCTGGACTCAGAGAGTGATTTCCTAGGAAAAAGATAAAAAACTGATAACATTTTGACAAAGATATAAAAAGGAAAAGAATATAGGCAGAGTTCCCTTGTGGTGAGATGAAGCTCTGAGTTTCACCTTAAAAGATCAGCACAGAAGAGGTGTTTTTTGTTGCCCAATCTGTCCCTAAATGGTCCTAATTTTGTCATGAGTCCCATCACCCTCTTTTGGACATTTCTCTGTGGCTGTCAGTGGTTGAGGCATAATTCTYCTTATACATTGCTGCTGTTGGAGGCAGGGAGATGATGCATGGGGCTCATCTACAGAGAACTGGAGTGRGAGTTTGTAGGGCAGCACAGGGCTCTGTAGGGGAAGGGGAGGCAGAGGGGGAATGAATGTACAGTGAAACCAGACAACATTTCTAGGTGTTCATCAAAACACCCCCAGGTTCCATTCCTGGGCAAYGAAACAAGGACAAAATAGTAATTGTGGTGCCAGAATTTTTTTTTCCTGGGGATTACTAATGGGCCTGGAGAAGTTGATGTTCTGAGCAGCAGCCAGTGGACCCCGGCTGATTGCTAATCCTCAGGAAATGCCTTCTGCCTAAGTGGTGGTTGCTGGTTATTCCCTGAAAATGAAGTTGGAGCAAACTGTATGTACATTGTTCTTTTCTAGTTGATGTTCACTCCTGATAAGGCACACATATGTCAGTCAAAGGTGTGGGAGTGGGGTGACTAATACATTTGTCTTATGATTAAATTAAGATAATAAAGATAACTGCACACTTCCATATACATACCTTATACTTTATTGGAGAAATAGGAGCATGCAGTCCCTGGTCTGGGAAGCCTGCAGTCTTAAGTAGGATCAAACACAGCCTTGTAGCCTGCTGGCAGTGGGGAGGTGAGAAAGTGGGGTAATAAAGAGCCAGGTGTCCTTTGAATGAGAGAACTGGTTTTGGRACCCAGCAGGAAAACTGTCCAAATAAACAAATGAGAGCCAGTTCAGGGGAGATTAGCACACAGAAATTTTGAACAGGAAAGGAAAACATTCCTAACGATACCTTGATGCAAGGCTGTAGCAGATTCTTTTTCTATTGAAGTATTCTGTGTTTTACAGCAAAGACAGGTTTGGCAAAGTAGTCCTTTCTTCTCACACTTGCACTCAGAGCTCTGCTAGCTGGAAGAGGTAGAGGTGTTGTGTAAGGGTGTCAACAGCCTGGATCTTTTGCCCAGAAGGGAAGAGAAATGCACATGGTTCATCCCTGACAGAATGGCAGCTTGTCTAACCCACCGCTTCTCCTTCCATTGTCCTTGTATCAGTAGGATTTCATTGCTTGACAAATAACTTCCCTTTCCATGTTGCTTTTCATCTAGGAAATCATTCATACAAATCCTTTTTTTCCCTTTTTTTCTCTCCCAGTCATTCATTGTAGGTGTGCTTTAACACTTCCTCAAAGTAAACCTGCCTCTGTTCAGCTTTCAAATAGCCAGTGCATTACAGTTTTTGGTGCACTTTTCTGTTACAGGTAAACCCAAATGTGCTGAATTCAATGGAGAAGCAGAGGCGCAGAGAGGAGGAGGAGGAGCGCCAGATCCTTATAGCAGTGCAGAAGAGGGAGCAGGARCAGCTGCTGAAGGAAGAGAGGAAGAGGGAGATGGAGGAGAAGGTCAAAGCAGTGGAAGGTAACATGTGCAGCCAGGGTGGAGCAGGAGTRGAAGCTTTCAAAGCCAAGACTGAGATCTTGACTTTAAGCCTGCCATTTGTGTCTGTCCCCTGCCAGATTTGCTAATGAGAATATATTTTCTTGCACTTATCTCTGATAAATTGGTCTGACTGTAGCTTCTTTTCCTTTGTCTGTCCTCTCAGTGTTGGTGGCTGTTCTCTATGCACCTTTTGACTGTGTTGTCTTCTTCAAGTCGTGTTAATTTTCTGCCGTGCCCCAGCTGGCCATTTTTTTTTTTCCTGCTATTCATGTTATTTCTTAGTTCTGTCTCCTCACTTGCCTCCTCTTGATTTTCCTGTGTGCAGGATTAGCTGACTTTGCTCTCACTGAATAGCATTTGGTTCTTTTGGCCCAATGCATGATGAAAGAATTCCGTTTGAGGAGAAAGGGAATGGGCTAACATGGGAGCAGCAAGAGTAGTATTTTTATATTGCTACTGGCCTGATCAGTTGGGGAACTWAAGATGAGGGGACCAGGCTACACAGAGCACCAGAGGTGGCCATTTCAGGTGTTGGTCTAAAATTTTTGTGGTTMTTACATGAAGTGCTGATTTAAGCTGTTCTGCAGCAAATGGGCATGTTGTGTTTTATACATCAGATCTACGCACAGACAGCAGGCAGTCAGCCAGTACATGTAGGTGTGGGTGTCAGAGCAAGCTCATTTCTGACCACTTTCTCTCTGTTGGCCTCCCTTACGGGGATTCYTTTAACTGCTGGTGTAGCCACAGTGACAGGCTGGACTGTTGTAGTTCTAGGAAAAGGCTGAACATCCTCAAAAAACTGCAGCAATGTGTGGCAGTATCACGATCATGAGTCCCGAAGTGGATAAAGAATCAGAAAAGGAAAAAAATACTACTGAGTTCATGCAAACCTTGTAAACTTTCCAAAATTAAACAGTTTGCTACCAGATGTTTGGTAGGAGGCCAGATGTTATCTAAGAATAGCTTCTTTTACCTGCTTACCTTTCTAACCTTTRGAAAATCCAGTTACTTCCTTGGCCTTCATGTATTCCTGTTTGCTAGTCCTAGATAATCAAGTGCTTTAAATTRAGACTCTTCMAGCTTCCATACCTGCCAAAGGTATYTGTTTCCTTTGGCAAATTGCRYATTCTCTGTGGTTTRATACTTCATCTCYATAGACAAAATTAGACTTGAAGTTCCACAAGAGCTGCAGAGATAAATATTCTTGTAAAATGGTTTTATTTTGGTATAAGCCACTTCCTTTYCTGGGTAAATGCAATCACTGCATAATCTGATTCAAAGGTACCAGAGCCACTCAAAGAAACTGGCATGGGGTAGAGCAGTAACCTCTTTTAAGCAAATTTAGCATACATTCATGCTTTTATTGGCAGAGTTACTTTTATTTTGGCTTGTGCAGTTTCTTTCAGTTTAGTTTAAACTYTTCCTTAGTCCATTTAGGCTAAGTCAGGAGAAGTCTCCTTTGAAACTGGTTCAAAAGCTGTCTGCAAAGGTTGTGTTACCTGCTCAGTTAAATCACTACAGTATTTTTTATCCCTAGGAACAGCAGCAGTCCAGGTATAACTGGCTTTTTAATSATCTTTTCTTAGGGCCAAGCTCACCCACCACTAGCATTTGCTGTCATGACAGTTCTTATGATGGAGAGAAAGTGATTTGAAAGTGACATAATTTCTTTTGCTTGGTTCAGACTTGTTAAACCTGGACATCCCTCGACAGAAATTTTAGGGCATCAAAATTTTCACTCTGTTTGAGATATAATATTAATTTTATATGGTCTTCTCTGGAGGAGGAATGTGAAATACAGGGTGAAATATCTGCTCTCTGGTGAACTTCAGTGGCACTTCACCTTCTTCTAGGTTTTGGATGGTATTCCTGTTTTTACATCGCATTCCCAATTCCAGCCTGAGATTACACTTCCCCCAACTTCAACACACCCCCCAGGTAGCAAGTTTCCTGCTGGCCCCATCTGTACTCTCTTGAATCTACAAGTTAAGGCAGCTTTCTGTATTTCTACTACAACAGCAGGTTAGAGTTTCCCAGTTCTCTTTGCAGATGCTGCTTCAACATAATCTCTCACATCCATGACTTTCTAGCTGGKTGAGGTACTTTTTAGGGCATTTGTTTAGGTTTTGAAAGCTGCTGGGTAAGATTCAGYCCAGGCCAACACTACGAGAATGACTCTGTCAGTAATCTTTAACACACTATGTTAATCACTAGCTRTGGTGGAGATTCCTGCTACTAATCCTAACTGAGATACCAGGGTAGCACTCTTTGATTCCTGTCAGTTTCCCAGGTCAGATCCTTGGCACACMTCGGTGGATTTCTAAAATCTACACCACCTTTATCTTTTGGCTGCTATTGTCATATTTTCCATTTGCTGCCCAAATAATTGCTTCATGTTCTCCTTAGCTTTCTCACTTAGGCATCCATTGGAATGCCATCTGAGGATTGCTAATTTTATGAAAGAAGCATGAATTCTGAACAGTGCATGGACAGATTCAGACATTCTCTGTTACCTGCAATTGGGTGTTGGACTTCTGGTCACGTAATGTTATAATAGGTCCTGTTAGGTTCTGTAGGATGCCTTAGATGCAAGTCCTATACTCCCAACTTCAGTGCTACYCTGACTCTTCTAACAGGAATTTTGAGCTTTCTTTTACTAGTCTTTGACATATCTGGCCATGGATGTTTGTCCCTACAAATACTCACCTTGTAGGTATTCCTGCTTGCTCTCAACTCCCATCCCAAGTTTTGGTTTGACTGACAGAGTGAGACATTAAATTGATATTTTTCTACCATAGCTGGTACTTCTTAAGTGGTTGGCATTTTCCACTGGCAGAGCCTCTGCTAGAGGGTGTTAGCCAAGTGTCCCCCATCCTTCTTTCACTCTGGAGATTCCCTGATGTGGTCTGTTTTCTGGGGTCCTGTTCCTATRCCATCTCTCCCTGAACATAACTTTCACAGAATTCTGCTCCTACAGAAGGTTGGTCCAACCGCAGGTGTTTTGCAAGTCAAATGAATTCAGATTTCCTATAAGAAAAAGGAAATGAGGTTCATAAGAGCCCATAAACTTTCTATTATGAAACAATCTGTTAGCCAGCTGTCTGGTTGCAAACCACAGGTTATATTACCAGCATTGCTTCTTCCTGTCTCTCACCTCTTTAAACGAAAGCTGTCCCAGTGGCCCTCGTGTGTGGCAGCTTGCTCACTCTGGCTGCTGGCCATGAAGACCTACCTGAGCAACCTTCCCACAGCCAGCCATGGCCGTGGAGGATAATAATGACCCCAGTAACTCATTGCCACTCAGTAGAACTTCACCCTTCCCTTGGCACTGCTCTTCATCCCATTCAGTGCAAAASCAGCTGCCTCAATTCACCTGTCTGAGGTGAAGCCCCTAAAGGCAGGTAACAACAAGCCAGTTCTTTCCATAGTGCTGRTCTGTGCCTAGGGCTGGGTTTTGAACTTCCCTCTTTGTACCACACCACTTCTGGAAGCTGTCTAAAGGGAGCATCTGTGTCACAGCAGTACTTCAAAATCGGTGGCTCTAACCAAGGGGGGATGATGAGGCATGCTGATGGTGCACCGTATTCTCACCTGCACCTGTGCTGTTGCTGCTTTTGCTGAAAGACAAGACCACCTCACTGGAGTTCTTGATAGTTTCAGGAGCACCTTCTGTTTCCCTGCAAGATCCAGGCAAGGAATGCTGAATGGTTTGTCATCTCTTCCCACTGCAGAACGGGCCAGGAGGAGGAAACTTCGTGAAGAGCGGGCCTGGCTGCTGGCACAGGGGAAGGAGCTCCCCCCTGAGCTTTACCACTTGGATCCCAGTTCCCCCACCAGGGAAGAACGAAGGACCAAGGATATGTGAGTATACAATGGGGCATTGCAGCACATAAGTGTCTTGAAGCAGTGAATATGGCAAGGAGAGGAGTGTGATCATTCACAGGAATGCAGAGGGAGAAGTGAGGTTGGAGAACAGTGAGAGGAGTAAGCTGAGAAACATCTGGGTTTGGTCCATATGAGAGGAGTGTTAGTGATGAGGCCTATTTGCCAGCATTGTGGCAATGCATGGGTGGAATCGAAGATGAAGTACAGAGCATATCTTACCTGCCCTCAGTCTGCATTTTCACTGTGGTGCTTCCCATTACAGCTTTGAACTGGACGATGAGTTCACAGCCATGTACAAAGGTTAGTCCCAGCCCAGCTTTCCCYTTTTGCGTGACTTTCTCAGAGTGAAATACTTCTGTCTCTGTGTCTGTGTGTAACCATGCACCTTTATCTTGCTGCTGCCAGTTCTAGATGTGGTGAAGGCTCACAAGGACTCTTGGCCCTTCTTGGAGCCCGTTGATGAATCTTATGCTCCCAACTACTACCAGATCATTAAGGTAAGGAAAGTGGCCTCACCATCTTGGCTGATGTGATTTGTTGACTGGGATGCAGGATTTTGGAAGTATTTTGAAGTTTTGTGGGCTGTATTACTCTCACAAACTCCACAATTCTGGCAGTCCCTTCTGGCCTTACAAGTCAAGAAAACCAAAGATGGATGGATTCCTCTCTGGAGAGAATCTTCTGCACCCCATGCCCTCTGAGCTGCAACTTGGTAAGCCCCTCTATGGTTGCTGTCACTGAAAGGAAGWTTGCTTGTATTTCAGGCCCCCATGGATATCTCTAGCATGGAGAAGAAGTTGAATGGAGGTCAGTACTGCACCAAGGAAGAATTTGTGGGTGATATGAAGACCATGTTCAGGAACTGTCTTAAGTACAACGGTGAAGGCAGTGGTAAGAGCAATAAGATGCTACATTTGTCTGTTTGCAGTGCTGTCTTCCTCTTCACCAGTATTTGATTTGTGGTTCTCTTTCAGATCATTTTTTGGGAGACCAGAGGAAAGGGTAGTAGATACTGAGACTTGCACTGGGTTTTAGTGTGGCTTTTAGCAAAATTTGGCCATGCTGAATTGGGACATGGCATWCTAAGGACTGCCATGCTGGTAAATGGTGAAGGCAGAACATACAGAGAGGAGAATCTGTTTCTTTCTGAGTTCATTCCTTCATGTGCTTATGTGTGCCTGTGTGCCCCTTTTCCTCATRGTAACTAATACAGACTTTGAAATGCATTCTAGTCTGATTAACTCCCAGAGTTTGTTGAGTACCACCGAAAAGTGAGGAGTAAACTAGGCTTCTCCACTRGAAAATGTAGTTTTTAGGTTCCTTGGCTACTGAAGGAGCAACATGAGTCTGCAAATGGGAAATCCTGTATTTAACTGCCATGCCAATTAAAATTCTACATGTTGCTTAGATGAGAAATCAGTTCCCATATGGTGGGTCATCACTGCAGACTGTCTCACCAGCAACACCTGGTGAGAAAGAGAAAACAACATTTAAAACTGATCAGCTTGTTGTTGGCTGCAAGTAAAAGCATACCTGCAATGCTACTGGGAGAACTCTGCTTGCCAAGGAACTTCAGGGTTAGTTTAGTGGAAACAACTGCAAAGTCACTTGCTTCAAGGCCTTGCCRCCAACACCTCTCACATGTCTTTTCCTTCCTATCCACTCAACAAAAAGTAAAAGCTCATCTCAGCAGAACTGTCCAGTGGAAATGATGCAGTGGGGACACCAGTGTTGGCAATAGCTTTCGTGTCAGGATCAGCAAATGCTTTGGAAACTACACGGATAAATGTGTTTGCTGATTTTCCTCTGTCTTGTAGTCCACAGCAGAGATTTGAACGAGTCCAAGAAAAGCCCCTGAATGTAATCAAATAGCATTGCTGGAAGTTCACATTTCTTCTCTCAGCACTCTGGCTGGTGAGCTATGCAGGTCACACATCTCTGCGAGCAGAGGTGGTGCTCCTTCTAATGTAATTCTTGGCACTAGGCTGGAACACTGAGTTAATGCTGACTCTGCAGGCCCTGCTGCCAGTGGCACTTTGTCATGCCTGTGTGCCTGCCCTCTGATGGGTTACTGAACAGAACTGATGCTGTGCTGCTTATGGAGTTTAGGAACCAAAGCCAACTAGTTAGAAACAAAAGTCTTCCTCAGAGAAACTTGGCAGAGGGGAGGTGATTTATCTGATGTTGTGTAATAGTTTGTCTCTGTGAGGCTCTGACTTTCTTGGGGGTTTTTGACTGCAGAATATACAAAGATGGCTTACAACTTGGAGAGGTGTTTCCACCGAGCAATGATGAAGCACTTCCCTGGGGAAGATGGAGACACGGATGAGGAGTTTTGGATCAGAGAGGATGGGAGACGAGAGAAGAGGAGCCGGCGGACTGGCCGCTCGGGCRCAGGCAGTGTCTGGACTCGGTCACGAGACCCAGATGGGCCTGGCAAGAGACAACAACGCCTGGAGAATGGAGGAAAACCTCCACCGTATCGAGCTGCTTCCAGGGCTCCTGCTTCTTCCTCCTCTTCCTCCTCCTTCTCCTCGTCCTCTGTAGATGATCCAAGTGGCAACTCAATGCAGACTACTCAAGAAGTGGGCCCTTCCAATGGGCGAGGCTTCCCCCGCTCCCTGCAGTACGGCGGCATGCCCAGCCCYGTGACACATCCTGGACAGATGGTAAGGAGCAGGTCCTGCTGTCCTTTGCCCATCAGGCCGAGGGAGGGAGGTAAAGGGGAATGAAACTTGCTACCGTGAAATGCTTAGTGCATGTCAGGAACCTGTTCCCAGAGATAAAGAGTTAGAGCTGTGGTTCCTACAAGTGAAACATAGCAGCCCATAGATTTAAAGTGGTATAATTTAAGTCTTTGCCACACTAGGTGGGAGCAATCTCCTAATATTTCCCATGGCTTGCACATCCCAGTGTAGGCCTGTTGGTTCCCCTAGTTTCTTCTCKCCTTGGAGAGTTACCCCAGTGTGCATGGAAAGCTGTCACATTTCTTCCCTTCACCTCCAGTTTATGAAGCTGAACAAGCTAGTCTTCTTTTGTCTCAATTGTGTACAGATGCCTGGTAACTTTGTGCCATCTATGTACTACTGCATTTCATRCCTTGAATATTTATAAAAGCAGTAAACTAAGTCAAAGGCCCCCTGGACTGCAGCAGTGACCTATCTTTAGCCCAATGTTTCTTCTCAGAATGCCACCTCTTCTACCTCCCTCCTGRGCTATTCTTCACCCATCCTTCATGGCCTTTTTCGTTTTAGCTAGTGATGACTTGTGGTGTGATGTATCTGCTGTTCCCCTGAGATCTAGGCTATCTCTTGCCCTTTTAGCTAGAGATCAAACAAAATTTTTAGAGTGATTCTTGTGCTGTAGATAGTGTGAGGCAGTAGCAGAGCTGGAGGCATTGAGTATTTTGAAGGAAATCCAGCACATTCCCTGTTGTCTTTCTGCTTYCACAYTCTTGTGGTCCATTCCTCTTCTAGMAGCAAAYCAYTGCCCCCTCCAGTCTTCTTGCTTGCTGCCCAGTATTTGGGTGGCAAATGAGTGTGTTGCAGCCTTCAGTTTGGGGGCAAAGTTGCTGAGGTGTGAGAGAGTGGCTTTGATATGGGAGCTGTGTCTCCTCCTAGAAGACGGTGTACATATTTTCCATGGTACCTCCAAAACGGTCCCACTGCACATCCGTGTGGTCATTCCAGCCTTGGCTTCCCCTTACCTGCAGTATTTCTACTGCTTTTTTACACTTCACAAATTGTTTTATTTCTCTCCCCTGCACCTCTACCCATCCCCCAGAGACCAGCAGTGCCAGGAACGTTTGGTCCTCTGCGTGGATCTGATCCCACAAAACTGTACGGCTCTCCGCGAGTKCCTGAGCCCCATCCCGGAGACCCAGTCCAGCAGCACCAGCACTTTGCCATGCAGGTAAGGCACTCTCACCGAGGGCTGGGCACACCGGGCCCCATGGGTGTGATGGCTCTCACTGAGACCCCTCCCTGTCTCYGCAGCCGGCCCTGGGACTGAGCGAKCACCGCGGGCACCGGCTGGGCACTCCAGAGAAGCAGACATGCACGGCACCGGCCCACGTGGCCGGGCTGGGCCCCCGGCCGGTCTCCCTGCAGCTGGGGCGCCCCCCGCCCGACGCCGTCTACCCACCGGCCCAGTTCCAGCAGGSCTTCCTCCCGCCACGGCACAACGGGCCCCCCGGGAAGCCGCCCGAGGGCTCRGAGGTGCCCCCGGGGCACATGTACCGGCCCTACAAGTACCTGAACCGCGCGCATCCGGCCCTGTGGAATGGCAGCCACGGCCCCGCTGTGGGGGGCCAGGCCGCCATGGGGCCAGAGGAGAAAGCGCCCATGGGGCCGGGGCCCACGCTGCAGCCCCGTGTCCTGGGTCATATGATGGACCCCCGGGCCACGAGGCCACCACTGCCTCCCAGCCAGTGGAGCGAGCAGTCCAATTTCCTACCTCACGGGGTGCCTCCCTCAGGGTATATGCGACCGCCCGGGAAAGCCGCCGGCCAGAGGATGCCACAGCCGCCGGCCGCTCTGTTTGGGGGACCGCCTCAGGTTCAAAGAGGGTGCCAGGGCGGGGACTCCATGCTGGACAGCCCGGAGATGATCGCCATGCAGCAGCTGTCCTCCCGCGTGTGCCCGCCGGGTGTGCCTTACCACCCTCGCCAGCCRCCCCCGCCGCACCTCCCCGGGCCCTTCCCCCAGCTGGCTCACGCCGCCTCCACCGGCCAGCCCCCAAAACCAGCTGTGGGAAACGGGAGCTCGCAGGATCCAACCGGCCAGACCATGGACATGGACAGCAACCCAGGTAATGCCTTCAGTGTCCACTGACAGCACTTGAACTTCCCTGCCTGCATCTGTTGCCTCCGCCTCTCAGAAAATAATTCAAATCTTGATTAAATACTTGGAGCGAACACAGTTTTACACATCTTTTTTTTTTTTTTTTAAATTAAATTGGAATGTATTTTCTACTCCTGGCATTGCTTAGATTTTTCTAGGACTGTTTTGTTTCACTGTAGCCTGCCAGAGGTTCCCTCTGTCCCAGCTTTACCTGCAAGTTTCCAGTTTGCCACAGGGTGCAAATGCAAAGCATAGGCTGTGATGCTTCTTGAGCTCACCTGGAGTTAATATAGAAATTGGATCTGCAGAGAGTTAGGTAAGGAGAGGAGATGTTATGTGAATAGATGTCTTAAATATACTCCTTTGAGTGTGTGTCAGAATGGCTTCTCCTCTGAAGTGCACATCTGCCTTATGAGCTCTCAACATCTTAAAATCTTCACACATCAGCACTGCCCAAAAGCTCCTGAGCAGCTGTATCAGTTCAGGTGGAATGGCAGCATGTCATGCGTGCTCTCACCAGTTTCTTTCTGGTTGAATTTCATTTGTTCTATCTGGTAAACTACAGATAATTTTAAAAAAAAAAGAACCTTAAAAATAAAACCTAAAGTAGAGATCAAAAAAATTCAGAGATCAAAAAATTCTTTTTCATTAAATCTAGATGGTAAACTGGAGATCAAAACCCTTGTATCTTTTATCAATCCCTTGTGTGCCTTGCACTAAGAGGAAACTCTTTCCTTGTGTGGCATTGCTTAAAAGTTATCATAATTTAGCTTGCTGGATATAGAACAGAGACAGGGGAGTGCTGAGTGATTGCAGRACAGAGTAGTCTCATCTCCGAACCACAGTTGGTTAAAATATGGCTGTGATCAGCTCTGCAGCATCTTGGGGTGTGGCAGTGCTTCTGCCCAAGCTGTGGGCAAATRGSGTTTGTGGAGGGTGGGCTTAAATTCAATGTTAAGAACAAATTCTTTACTGTGAGCAGATTTAYTGGCACAGATTGCCCAGAGAAGCTGTGGAWGCCCCATCCCCAGCAGTGTTCAAGACCTGGCTGGATGGGGCTTTGAACAGTCTGGTCTGGTGGAAGGTATCCTTCTCCATAGCAAAGGGGTTGGAGTTATGTGATCTTTAAAGTCCCTTCCAACCCAAACTATTCTGTAATTCTATGACCAGAAGGGGTAAGGCAGCCTGAAATCAAGCTGCCACTACACCAACACCTTATGTTGCTGTTGTGTGGACCCMATCTCTGCCTCTCCTTTAAGCAGCCACTGCACACCTGTCACACCAACATGAATGCTATGTTATTCCAGAAGGGCTGTGACTTAGTGGTGGCTTGCAAACTGCAGTGTTCCCCTGTGCCATCTTTCAGAGAGACAGGCAACCTCATGAGCAGTTTTTAAAAGAGCACGTTTGAAATAAGCAGCTATTAAAGGTCACCCAAATTTGCAAAAATGCACTTCAAAATTGCTGAAGATCTCGGAAGGTTTGAGTAGAGGATGGGTAGGTTTTTGGAGTACTTCCAGCAGAAGGACCTTCATGGCTGTCAAAAGTCACTCCTTTATCTCTTCCATTTTGCACAAAAGTGTAATGCTTCCTCCATCCAGATGTTAGGGACTTGTTGGGCACAGCTGCACAGCAACTTTGGGTCAGCAATYGAAAAGGATGCTGAGAGGCTGCTTTCGTAGACCTGGTTAACCTGGCAGGAATTATTCTTTTGCATGAGTGCTTTGGGTGAGCACGCGCGGGTGTGTGTCTGTATCAGGCAGAGAGGTCCAGTTTCCAAGATTAAACAGGTGTGTGACTCTCTTCCCTCTCTTTTCAGTGGAGACGCCAGCAGGCATGGATGAGAAGGCTCAGTGCATCAGCATTCCTGACGGGACCTACGGCAAACTCCTACCTCACCCCAAGCCCCCACTGCCCATGGAGTGCACGAGGCGCGCCTTGCCCCCGGATGGGGAGGGGGACGGCCCCGGTGTGAAGGGCGACCTGAAGGCAGGGCAGGGCAAAGGCGCGTGGTCAGCAGAGAGCGGCTACGCCGGTGACCCAGGCTGCGTGAGGGACCTGGTGCCCCCCTCTGAAAGAGGGGGTCCCCTGCCTCAGAATGGGGCAGCGGGAGAGGGGCCAGCAGCCGGCCCTGAGGGGAAGGGGCTGGCTGCCAACCTGCTGGAGAAACCCCTCTGTGGTGGGGGAAAGGCTCTGTCCGAAGCAGCCGTGCCGTGCATGGGGCAGGGCACCGGCCTCCCTGGCATGGATGCCGCCTCCATGGGGGCCACCCCCAACCAGTTTCACCCTCTCTACATGTCCAGTCTGGAGTACCCGAATTCAGCCGGGCGGTACCATATCAACGCAGGCCTGCAGGGGTTCAGCCCCATGATGGGGGGGAAGCCACCTCCTCCTGCCTCCCATCCTCAGCATTTTCCCCCACGGGGTTTCCATCCAAGTGGTGCCCACCCCGGCGTCTTCCCACGATATCGGCCTCCCCAGGGAATGCCGTATCCTTACCAGCCACAGCCTCAACCCTCCTACCACCACTACCAGCGACCGCCCTACTACGGCTGCCCGCAGGGCTACTCGGACTGGCAGAGACCTCTCCACCCGCAGGCCAGCCCCAGCGGGCACCCCAGCGCCCACCCCACCCTGGCCAGGCCCCCTTTCCCAGAGCGGGGCTCCAGCCTGCAGGGCTGCGAGGCACTGAGCGCCGCCCTGGCCTCGCCCAACCGCGTGGACGTAGCAAGTGCCAAAGAGGTTTCTCCAAGCGACGGGCAGGAGCTGGGGCCTGAAGATGAGAAGTCCGAGGAGTCCCAGGAAAGACCAGAGAGTCCCAAAGAGTTTCTTGATTTGGACAACCACAATGCGGCCACTAAGAGGCAGAGCTCGGTGGCTGCGGGAGAGTTCCTCTATGGAGCCCCCCCACCACACCTGGGTGCAGGGATGGGATTCGGCCCGTCGGCTTTCCCTCCCCATGGGGTGATGCTACAGACTGGCTCTCCTTATGGATCCCGCCATCCTGCCAGCCACTTCCAGCCCAGGACGTACGGATCGCCCATGAATGCTCACCTGTCTCATCATCCAGCCTCTGGCCAGGCCAACGGCCTCTCTCAGGAGGGCCCCCTGTACCGCTGCCAAGAGGAGAACATGGGTCACTTCCAGGCCTTGCTGATGGAGCAGAGAGGCAGTGGAGGTGGCATGGGGGGGCCACCCCAGGACTTGTATAGACCCTCGGGGTAAGATCGTGTTTTCTTCAAGAAGGCAAGGTGGGAGGGGGTGATGTCYGGGTGACCAAGTGTTGGATATCCTTGAAAGGATATGGCTTGAAGTCAAAGGAGATGACAAGTGAAGATGAAAGGCTAACAGGTGGTTCTTAGACTCCTGGAGTAAGAGGTCTGCTAAGATGAAGAGAGTCTCATTGCATCTCCTTAAAAAAAGGAGCACTCTCTGTCATGGAGAACCTCTTAGCCTGCCCCATCCATCCCCACACCAGTGCTTTGTTTCACCTGACAGTGTTTTGTAAATGTGTTATCTAGGGTTGAGCATCTCTTAACCACAGGGACTCTTGCCTTTTTTTTYGCAAGTGTTTTATTTCATCTTGCTCATAGTGGGACAGAGTTGCTGACTAAAGTGGAAGTTTGCCTCTTGTTATAACATGTTCAATGTTGCTCTCTTTTTCCCTCCTCTTGCTTTGTCCCTTCTCTCTGTGTCAAATTTCCAACAGAGAAAATTACTTTTCAGAAACTGGATATCACATTTTATTCCCTAGTGGAAAATTCTGCTACTCCAAAAATTCCATGTTCAGTTTTTATGAATGTGCCTCAACTGWTACTGTTTTGTTATCATCACAGCATGGTAGTCTTTCCTTGTTCTAGTATTCAGGGAACTTGGCTTGGAGCTAAGCCATTGAGGGAGTGGCATGGGTTGAGAGTTGTGTTGTGGGGTGAAGCCAGACAGAATACACAAGACAAATGCTTGTGTGGTMATGATGTATGTATGCCTTCAGTGAAGTAGTTTTAACGAAGAGTGGGGATTTGCTCCTGTCATTCATGTGCTAAAACTCTCTCCATTCAACCTGACTCCAGAATGCAAATGCATCAGGCTCAAGTACCCTTCCCGAAGATGCCTACAGCAACCATGTCCCGTGAAGATTTGACGTCRCAAAAACCGTCAGCGTTGCCTCTGGATCAAGTAAGGACTGCTAGAGAGAGCAGAGCTGAAATGCAAGTCTTTCTCTTCCCAGTGGTTAAAGGATTGAGGTGTTTGATGAGAGTGGAAAGAACTGGAGGAAGCTGGGAACTTGGGCAGATCAGTAGTGTTAGCTTTGACCAGGTTGCATGCAATTTTGAGTTTATTCCTTTCTAAAGCTGCCATTTAAAGCCTCCAACTCCTTTTTTTCCTCTTCCAGAGCTAGTCCAAGAAATGAAGGACTTCATGAAGATGAAAGCCACACGTGATATGGACAACGGAGAGGAGGGGCAGGCCTTGCTCCGACCCTCCCCTCATCCGAGCAGCATGGAGCTTCCTGGGTCTGTGGAACGTGGTGCTGTGCTGGCTTTTGTGTTGGAAACGTGGAGCGGTGCTGGGCCCCAGCCAGCCGAGCAGCTGGCTCGCCATCGCAGGGCACCCCGAACTCGTGGCTTTCTGTGACCGGAGACTGCGTCTCATTCAGGGTTTGAGGGATCTTTTGGGTGGGGAGGGTGGGGGGTGGGGGTGGAAACTTTCATTGACTGCTAAACTCAGGTATATTTTTCAGGGTGGAAGAGGACGATGATGAAATTTTACTTGTAGTATTAACGTGTGTGTTTTGGAGCTGGATCCAGTTTACAGAATTTAACCTGTTGCCTTTCTAAATAAATTTCTGTTGTTGGTGAATGTATTGTACATAATGGGGGGGAGGGTGGGCCCAGCTTGTAGTGGGCTTAGCACTGGAGGAATCGTTAACTGTTTACAATCATATCACACTGAAATCTTTCAGGATAGGGTGAGGGTTCGGGGGGACCAGGGAGAGGCGAGGAAATGTGTGACTTGCTGTGCTCCTTCCTGTCCTCTGCAGCCATGACATGACTCGACGGTTGGTAGACATAATAGCAGGAATTGCTCAGGAGCATAACATGTCCTCCTCTTTCTCTTGCCTTCTTCTTCCTTCCTCTCACACCCCCACCTCCACCCCTCTGGATCCAGGGCCTGAGTGTACTTCCAGCTCCTGTCATCATGAGGGAACAAGGAAACCGGGACCAGGAATTGAAACCAGGGCAGGACACCCATGGCATTGTTCCTTCTGCTAATACAGTACACTTCTCCCTGCCTTTCTGATAGAAGAAATGTGTGCTCTAGAAAACAGAAAATKGCATAACTGGTCAACTTAAAATTTGTTTTTGTGAAACCGGTGCAGCTGTGGGTGGAACAGCACCTRTCCAGTAGAACAAATTCTGTGTAAATCTGTACTTCCCTGCTGCCTGAGAAGAGGAGCCAAGTCCCCACCTCTTTCACTGACCCTGGGCTATGTTCACTTCTTAGCAGCAGTGAAGCAGAAAGTGCCACAAGCTTCCTGAGCAATCTCACTGAGGAGGAAGAGCAAGAGGCTGCCTTGGGGGACTGGCAGGATTACTGCAGTATGAGCCATTTGTTGGATTTGGCATTTGCAAGTTGCARGTGAATTGGAAAGCACTCGAACATTCAAAGTCAGTCATTGAGGTCGATTGGCTCAGAAGTTGAGGGACAAGAGAGCTTCCTGCTGGAGTCGAATTGGTTTAACTTTGTTGTCAAGAGCAGGTCCTGCAGGGCCAGTGGCAGCTTCTGTGTGCAGTCTGCAGGGGCTGTCACCAGTGGCAGTACTGCACTGGGAAACCCCTGTGTGCCAGTCATGAACAGCCACTGGTGTTCAAGTGAGTTCTGTAGGAACTTCACCTACATTTACTCACATCCTAAGCTAACRAGCAGTTGATTATTCTAGAGGGAGCTGGAGTAAAACAGTGAGTTAAGCTATGAGACTGGGCAGCAAAACCTTATGGGAGTGTAGCCCTTGTGGGCAGGGTGCTGGCTGCACTGGGAGAGGGCAGTGGTTAAAAAGAGGATGTGCCAGTCTGTCAGACAGAGCATGCTAGCAGGAGAAGGACAGAGCAGCATGCCCTTTAGTCAGTGCTACCAGCTAGAGGAGGGATATTGTCTTCAGGTTTCTGGAGAATTTTTCTGSCTGCTTTCTTGCCTTGCATTGTGCCATCACTCATATCTTCAGCTGGATTGCACCAGGATGCACGACTACACTGCCTTTGTCTTGCTGTGTAGATCTACTATGCACTGGCAAAGCTGTTCAAGCRAATGGCAGGTAGCATCTGGCTCAGCCATTGCTCCTTCTGTCCTAAGCTTTTGGAATAATAAAAAAGCCTAAAAGATGAGAAATATTCTTTGCTGAAATAGTTGGAAAAAGGAAGGACTGCCACGTTAATGCCCAATGAGCCTCACTGCTCTGTTGCTACAGCTCTTWTGCCTGTGATGAGCTGTGTGGGGCCAAGGTATTTTCCAAGCCTAACAGGAGTTAAAATTCTTCATGCAGTTGCACAAGTGCACTCCAGATGCAGTTCTTACCCACTGCTGCAGTCAGCCTGTCAACTATAGCTGCTGGCTGCTTAGRCCAGTCAGTTGCCTGGGACATCTGTCAATGTAATGTGAATTTCTTCTGGTATCTATCTACAGATGCCATTAGATTAGGAAGGGGAAGAGTGAGGGTTTTGGTGTGTTTTCTTCATTTGTATTCATCTGTCAGGGAGCACTTGTGTGGMTTGATCTAAACTGGAAGAGATGATCCTAAAGGTTGACCTTTGACAAAGAAATGGGTAACTGCTTTCCCCAGCCAAGAACATTATGTCATGTCTCTTCCAAGGACAAATTTARCTCATCAACTGGCAGTGGTTTTTCAGAGGGGCCTCAGCTGCTCCGAAAGGCAGGTCTAGATCCTTCACTGGGCAGAGGTACAGTAGCAGTAGTAGATATTAATGAAAAATTGTGCAAGTACATCTGCTCTTCAAGACAACAAACCTGGGACAAACACTCTTTAGTTCACTGTACATATAAAAATAATTTGAAATAGCAGATTTAAAAAATGAGGAACTGGAAAATATAATGTGTAGCAAARCATGGAAAATTCCAGAAATGTGGATGTAGATTCTGCAAAGAAGCCCTGCCAGACACTTCARCCTGTCTTCTGTATCACAGACAGCTGAATATTTGAAGTTCCTTTCCTTCAGCTCATTGGGCACATTGCAGAACAGGAGGTTTTTAGAAGCTTTAAAAACTCTCCAAGCAAGGTGAAGCACAGTTCAGCTGGAACAGGTGCTGAAAACATGGTTCTAGTGCTCATGGTATCTGGATGAGTACCAAGCCTGGATCAAAACTGGACACAGCTAAAGGAGGGCAAGAATTGCTTGTGGTCTGCCTGGAGAGCGTAGTGGAGTGTTAGACAGTGRTAGATAACCTCACCTGACTTGATGCAAATCTGGGAGGGGTTTGACTTGCACAAAACCAAGTAGTGAAGCTGACTCCTCTTGGGAGGGTTTCTAGGTAAATGGCTTTTGATGTAGTCAATAATGTTTATTAAAGTGGCTARCAAGCTGCTGTTGTGAGGACAGATGGTTTCTATTAGAAAAGTACTAATATGGAATACAGGAAACTACGGCTGGGCTTTCCTGAGGACAGGACATGCTGAGGTGGAGAGATACTTGTGAAATCTTAGATTGGAGTTTCCAGACTTTCAAATGCTTAGATCATAAGAAAGGGTTGTGGTTTTTTTCCCCCTCTTATAATATCTAGGGATGCCCTCAAAATCAGAGTTCAATCTCGCTAGGKACAGTCTAAGCAAATCACAGAAAACTGCCTCTCCTCAGAGGTTACAGCCCTGGGACAAGATTGCTGGGGTGGAATACCCATGGAAATTTAAGCAGATAATGTGGATTTTATTATTTCCAAACCATGCTGCTTTGTAGATACTGTGAAAGAGAGGTTTGAGGGATTTAGAAGAGCAGCATCGCATCTCTTTATGTACAGAATGGTGTTTCGTGCCATTTGTTGGCTTGCAGCCAGATGTGTAACTGCATTTTGAAATAACATGGCTTCTGAGTGCCATACTTGTGCCACTRTCTTAAATTAATGAGGAGGTGTTAGGTCATAGGTTGGACTTGATGATCTTGAAGGTCTCTTCCAGCCTGGTTCAATCTGTGATTTTAACCCAGCACAGAGAAACTCTAGTGCATCCCCCAGCATTGTTGTAGTACATTACCAGTTGGTGCTTTCTCAGAAAGCATCCTGAGCTAGTGGCTTTGCAAAATTTCCTGTAGCTATTTTCCTGTATGGAGGACGTGTTTTGCAATAATTATGGATTTCATGTTAAACAAGATTATATAATRCATAGAACAATTATGATGTTGATCATGCTCAAGCATGACAAAAATTTTCAATAATCTCGGAAGAGCTTTGTATACTGCTCTACCTTTTTAGTCTCTTGCTCTCCCCCACCACTTCCTCTTTCTAAAGTGGGGTGTGGTGTTCCCAAGCTCCTGAGATGTTAAGTTGCCTTTGCAAAGGCCACTGTATAAACTCCCCCGAGACTCTGAATTTTTGGACATCTTAGGTAGTACAAGCCCTGGAAATTCAACTAAGTAATTTGGAAAGGGCAGTCACTGAGGCTTCACAGTGACTTTTCGCTGTGTTTAGCTGCAGTTTGCAGTCTATAAATTCCWTGGTGTGACCCACCAAACCACTCAGTGGCAATCCAAGGCACCAGCCTGCAACGAGGAGGACAAAAGAGGAAAGTAAATTTGAAGCTTCAAGGCCCAACTGGTTTGATTTGTGACTTTCAAGTACATGGAGACACTTTTCTTGGAAGCTTCTGATTGTTTCTTGTCTGCCAAATGCCTTTTCCATGCAGACTTTCCGAAACAAATCGCCTGTGTATATTTTTGTAAGTGTGGTTTCTCAGGGTCTTGGAGAGCTATCAGCTTTATGATGTCTTATCTGAAAGCAAGTCACAGAGGCTGTCTTTCATTCTGCTGACTGAGGCAGCTCCCCTGCAGGTTCTCACCCCAACACTTCTCCATTTAAAATGGAAGTATAATTAGAAAACAACCTTTCTTTATTTTCCCCACTGATCCCTGTCAGGCTTTCGTTCATCTCTCTGTTCAAGAGAGATGTTTCTTTGTTCTTGATGGCTTCATTCTGCTCCTTTTCTGAGAAGACTGTGTTGCTGTATGCACTGTGGAATTTCAGAAAAGGTGCTGAAGTGAATGACAGGGAAGTGTCATTCCAGAGGGTGGCTTGGAGAAGACCAACAGTGGAATCTGTGATGGTTTAGTTGGTCCCGGTTCCTCTTGCTGCAGAGCAACCATGCAACTGGATCTGCACTTAATCAGAGCAACCCTTTGAAAGGTTTTTRTTGTGCTACATCAGTGGAGGAGTAGAGGAGTTTGCTCTTGCAGAATCCCTGTTCACTCCAAGTGTGGTGCTGGTGGTTGCAGAGAAGGTGTGTGAATGTCATGTCCTTTCTGCAGGGCTGGGATTGGGATAGCAGGCTGTGCAAGGAGGGCTGCAGCTGCAGCCCATGTGAAGAGCTTTAAGAGCCTGTGCTCACTGAAACAGAAAGCATCTCCAGCACTGACCTGGCAGCCTCTCCCCATCTGTACCTGTTTAACATACAGATGGGGGTGARCACACAGGGTTGGGCAGGATCCCTGCCGCCCATGCGGAAGGAAAATGCTTTTAACCGGCACATAATGAGCTGYGTGTCCTGGGTTTCACTCTGCCCACCTCCTGCTCTGAAAAAGAGCTGGGGAGGGACCCATTTCCAGCTGTCTCCCAATAGCTGCTCCTGGGGACAACCAGGGCAAGGCTCAGTCCACCCCCWGGCAGAGAGATTCAGGACAGGGTTTTATGTGTTTGAAAGTAGTAACATCCAAGTGTACCTTTGCAGAGAGCTGTGTTGTGCCCTTCTCATTTAGTTACTGTCTTGCTTTGGCTCACATGCAGGATTTGAGAGACCGTGGAGCATTTTATAGATCCAACACGGCTGCTCTTGCATTGATTGAGGGCTTTTTTCCTTTGTTTGCAGCAGTGGCTTAGATTTCTTTTGGCAAAGGTCTTCCTCTTTTTGAAAKGTGGATATCAAAGTGAACAGTGCATCCAGGAGAGAGCAAGAGCTACATCTACCAGGGAAAGAGGGGACAAAGGTTTAATTAGGACTGTGGCTTAATTGGGATTTTCACCAACTCAAGCCTAARGTCCCTCTGTCCTTTGCCCCTTCTATTTGGAAACACTTGGCTCACTTAGCAGAAAGGCAGTAAGTGGAATAGCTTCTAAATAAAAGCAGAACTGACTCTGTGTGAGCACAAGTCTCTTGTTGTGAATGAAGTTAGACCAGAGAGAGCCATTGGGGGGACTCCTTTGAGCAGCAAATGAGTGAGAGGCCCGCAGGCACCTGGAGCACTCAAACACGAGCACAGCAGAGGAGCAATCTCCCTTTTTGAAACCAGCCAGGCAGCTACAGGAGCTCAGGCCTCAGCTTAGTCTGGAAAGTCCTCTGATCCGCTTTGTATCATATGCCAACACCTCCCCTCTCCTTGCTTCCCAGCTTTCAAGTCTCTTTCCTTGTTCTGACTTCGCTGCAGTTGGTGGCTGTGAGTGCAGAGCTGAAAGCTCACTGCCCACATGAGCACAAGGGCAGAGGGTTGACCTTGCCAGCTGCCTCCTCTGCACACACACAGAAGCAGGTGAGGAGAATGCATATATTCTCATGAAACTGAGGCATCCTCAGTGGCTCACGAGTGTTCTCTCGTGTGGCCCTGGGGTTTGCCACCCTGGCACAGCAGTGTGTGTCCATCTACCAGTACAAGGATTTGCTCCTGGTCCTAGTGCAGGGCTCCCACACGTGATCCCAGCAYGTCTACCTCCAGGGGGGTTTAGGTTAGAAATTCCTGTGCATATACTGTGTACAACTGTGGAAACTCTTGTCTCTCCTCCTTGATGGATCAATGAATGCTGCTGCCTGATCTTTTTCTGAGCAATAATAACGTGCAGCAATGCAACTTTTAACCTTTCCGCACTGTTTTAGGGAGTAGATGGCTATGGAACACACTGCAGGGGATTCCAGTTTCAGCGGGAAAGCGAAGTGCTCTCTGTGGTCCTGCATTTTTTTATCATGCCACGTTCCTGCTTTCCCAGAGACTGGTGGGTTGATTTGGGTAGCTATGAGAGAGCTGGTAGCTGCTTCTGTGTTTGGGAAGGCAGAGAGGGAAGGGAACAGTTGGGTAAAGGTGAGCCYCATCCACAGAGCAGAGCACACTGGRACAGGGGTGGYTGTTGCTGCCACAGAATGAGGGGTGGATGAGGGGGAGGAGAGTGACCCACTGCTGCTTCACTTGGCTTTGCTGGGGAGGTAGTGGGGGAGCYTATGCCACTACATCCATTCATTTTTCTGAAGTTGGGTAACATTGGGGTTGTTTTCTGTATTATTGTAAGTTTGTAAAGAATGTAATCTGTCAGGGGCACAAGGAGAAAACGGGGGTCTTTCTCTTTTTGGGTGAGGCTGTTCTTATGTTGCTGTGCTTTCTGTTGTTGGGTGGGGAGGGGTCTAATGGCCATGGGGGCAAAAGCCTGGCCCTTGTCAACAGCTTGCAGCTGCCCCAGGGTGACAGGAGGGTGAGCTGAGGCTGCAGCAGAGACCTCCCACACCAAGCTGTGAAAATGCCTCTGCCTGTGTCCCTCAGCAGGGAAAATGGGACCTCTGTGGGACTCTGCACTGGCATATTTTCCTGGGTGCTGGGATGTAATACTTGAGGATGGGCTTTCTTGACTCCATAGCAAACTGGGCTGAAGAGCTGCYCATGCTGTTTATGAAAGGTTGGAGTGGATGGGCTCAATTTATCAGCTCAAGAAGGAGTTGATGCTGGAGTTGCTCATCCCAGCACTTCTGTCCCCAGCAGGGGCTCAGGGTGAGCCTCTCACCTCTCCATCACCTGCAGCCCAGGAACCCCCACCTCCCTCCCCATCCTGTAGAGCACAGTGTCAGGGATCCTCTTCTCTCTCCTGCTGCTGCAAAGTTGTGTGAACTTTCCTGGTCAATACTGGAAAGGGGAATGCTATTTATTTTTATATTGTGTATATTTTGTCTTGGTCTGCTGATTACCTTTGTTCCCCAAGAGCGACAGTTACCTCAATAGTTAGTTTAATACTGTGTGTTGGGTAATTTTTTTTAAGAACTTTTTTAAAATCTTGATCCTTGGAGGTCTGTAGATTTTATTTCCATATGAATTGGTTATTTTGTATAAAGTACRTTCTTAAAATAGCAATCACCCGTGCTGTATGTGTGTTTTCTTGTCTCCTGGATGGTCTGCCTCTTCCTTTGCAAGGGGAAGCGGATGGGGGTGGGAGGATAACAGAGGGCTTTTTTTCAGAGAGACAAAGCCCGGGACTGCAGTCAGACACCATTGTAGCACCTGTRATCCATTTACAAGAGAGCACCTGGAAAGCTCATCGGGATCATTTCCCGTTCAGAAGCACAGCTGTCTGCCTGTGAACAACCCAGTTGTGGAAATGAGATGGTGTCACTACTTTCCCTCCAAAGTCCCTGGTGGGCTGTGGGTTTTCCTGCAGCCCAGGTGTGCTGCAAAGCCTGCCTCTCTCCCCACCGACCCCCGTGCTTTTGGGGCACACATCATCTGTTCCTCCATACCCATGTGAACCCTCTCTGCTTTGAAATTTGTGACTGCCCTGAGTAAAGCCCATGGAGTGATGCTGCTATGAAGGGGGAGCTGATGTAGCCTTTGTGATTCCCCTTTGTGCTGATTTAATGATGGCCCTCAGGTACTGTTTAGAGGAATGGAAAGCCTTTGTGTGGTGGTCCAAATCCTATTGGGCCCAAGAAGGCRTTTGCTGTTTGCTGTTTATTCAATCTCCCATGTGAGACAGGGCAGGGGTTGCCTCCCAACAGACAGGTGTTGAAAGATAACTCAGCTCTTCCTCACAGGGGTTTTGGCATCAAAGCCAGGAACTGGCCGTATGTTTCCTGCTGGAAGGTGCCTGCTGTAGGTGCACGGAGGCAGCTTGCACTCGCTCAGCTGCTCCCTGGATAAATAATTTGCTCCGTTCTGCTGATTCTGCAGCTTTTGCATCAGGACAAAATCAAGGCGATTTTCCTTAAAAGCTGTTGCCAGCAAACAGAGCATGTGGGGTTGAACAACAGAAGGCTGGGGGCACGAAGGCTCCCAGGTGCATGCTGCAAGCCCTTTCCCTCTCCTCCCCAGGAGTGGGGAGATGCAGTGAAATCTCTCTCTCTTTCCTCCAGGGCTGGTAACAGACGCTCACATCTCCTGCCAAAACAGCCTTGCAGTGTAGCCTGCTTGCTCCATGGGCTCCATCTGCCCCTCCTGTGGGATCCTCACTGGGGCTGGGGCTGCTCCCAAGCTGAGCACTCTCTCCTGGCTCTCAGCACCAGAGCTGCCTCTGCAAAGAGATGCCCAGGAAACATTTGTCCATGATGCAGGACTCCATACTCAGTGGCTGAGCCAGAGAAGCTCAGAGGAGCACATGTAGGCAACTTCCCATCGTGGGCCTTTGGAGGAGCCTGAGATGTGATCTGCTGCACCCTGACACCTTGAGTAYCCCAAACCCACCAGATGGGTGTCAGAGCTGCCTCCGCTGTCCAAGGGAGGCAGATAAAGTCAAACATCCTAGCAGGGCTCTTCCTAGCACAGCAGCTGCTCCAAAGACTTCTGAGGACCTTGGCTCCTTGTTCCTGGGGAGGATGAAAGGCTGCTCTCTGTCACGTACCCCCCTTCCCCTCTCCCTTCCACAGGGGTCAGAGTTTGRGGTGACAAGAGCAAGCTGTCCAATTTAGGAAGAGGAGGAATTTGGTTGCCCTGTCAGTCCCAGAAGTGTTTGGGTCAGAGGGGATTGGCACGGGGAGATTTTTAATCCTGAGGCTAAGCCAGCACAGAGTGGAGTCAACACTAATTGGAACCAGTCCTGGGGAAGGGGCAGATGGAGAGTTGCTACTTTTAGAGCTGCTTTGCAGCCCAGGCAAAGACAAAGCTTATCTGTGCTATAGGAAATGCCATGTCCTAATCTTGACATGATGCTATCCCGAGTGTAACAGGCGGTGTCAAACTGAGCCACGTGCCCCCTTTTTTTTTTTTCTACCTTTTTCTACTACTATCCACAGTTCTTGATTCTTTTCTTCTTTCCTTATCTCCATGGATTGGCAAAGCTGCTCCCACTGCCTTGTACAAAGGGAGCTTTCCTGRGCTCTTTGCAGAGAGGCTTTAAACTCTCTCTAGCCTCCTTCTCCCTGAGAACATGGATGCTTCCCAAACCCATTTTTTTTTCCTAAAACAAGCCAAACAACTTACTTGTTCATGTAGGCTTGAACTGGGGATGGATTTGATTAATCAATTTCAATACAGACCAGTTCAGTGCCCAGTTTGAGTATGGAAATAAATGGCAGCCACTCACTCCCAWGATGGGGCAGATGTTGGAGAAAGCTCTCACTCGAGGCAGGCTTTGCTACAGCTGAAGGATGATGCATCTTTTGGGGATGCCTACTGGTGAGGGAAGAACCAGAGTGTCTTTGGCACCATCAGTGGTTTTCTGATTTTTTGGAGCTTGGGATTTGTTGCGGGTTTTTTTGGCTTTTTGTTTTTTGAGCTTTTTTGGGGGGTGGATGTTGGTTGTTTTTTTCTATTACTATAAAAAATATAGCATCTTGCAGGCAATGTTTCCATCTTGAATTTTCCCATTAGTCACCAGCCACACTTTGGCATGGGAGAAACTACCTCGCCCAGAAAGGCAGACTAGAGCATTCGGGGTAGCTCAGGAAGACTCRGTTTCAGGCTAAATGGCAGGAATGTTCAGTTATTGGTATTAGGAAAAATAAATGCACTCGTAAGTTCAGAATTTTTATTTTTGTCCCATATTGGGATGTAAAATGCAACATCTCCAAACAGATGGGGATCTCTTGRAGGGTGGTACCATGCTGTATCTCCTCCAGCCCTCAAAGCTGCAGTTTTTGCTTGGTGGAGCAGTCATGGGCACAGGAAGGCAAAGAAAAGTCWTTGGTCTGGTGAGGCAGTTTACATCCCTGCCTGGTGAGAATGTAGCTCAGCCCCTTGCTCCCAGCCATAAGTTTAGTCTGAGATGCAGTGTTGGTGTCTGGATATTTAYACACTGACAAAATGAATATCCCAAGTGCTAAAAAAAAAAAGTGAACTTGTTCTGACCATAAGAAGAGCCCCGAGGCTGGTCCCCAAATGAGGACTCCCAAGATCCCTCTCTTTGCCCAGCAGCACAGAGACAGAGAGGTTTTGCTGGAGGAGAGGGAGGAGATGGGAAGGAGCAGTGGCTTGCCATGGGCCTGAGGCAGCATTTCAGGGCTGACCCCTTCTCTTCTGTCAACTCCCGGAAGCCTCATGTTCCCTGGCCACTTTTTAAAATTCCTTTCCCAAAGAGACTGTCAGGGTGGAGGGATCATAAAAAGTTCACCCCCTTGTCACAAATGCTCCTGTTCTTCCGGGGCCGGTGGGCAAAAGTCGTTAGCAATTTCCTCAGGCCGTGACCTTTGTTTTGACCATGGCAGAGGAGGATTGCAATCCATCAAACCCTCGCCTGGCCTGGGGAGAGRGCTGAGCAGAGAAGGGGGAGCCTTTACAAGGGAAAGGGGGCACAAGGACACTGCTTTGAGGGGCAGGGGGATGCCTCGTTGCTGGCTTAGCTGGAAACTCAAGCTTCCCAATGTGGAATTCAGGGAGGGAAACTTCATTTGTGGGCCACAAGAGAGATTTGACAGTTTCCTTTCATTTTCTTTCCCAAGAGGGATACTGGATTTCAATTTGCTGCAGCAGTAGAGTGGGGAAAGATGTCTTGCAGGGCTTGTGCCCAGAACCAGCCCTGCAGAGCAGCTGGCTGCATCAGCAACGTAATTCTAGCAGGACCTTGGGCAAAAATGGGAGATGCCAGTAGATTTACAACCTCCCAAGTCTCAGCCGCTATTGGTCCCTGGCTTTTCCAGGCCACCYGGGTTTTTGGAAGATCCCGTAGAACTGTGTTTTGTTAGGAAAATCAGTGGCAAACTAGAACTGCCCCCTGGGAAATGGCTGGCTCCCACAGACACCTGCCTCTCCACTCCAGTTCCCAGGGGGTTGGTTCATCCCTGGAGCACCCCTGGTGCTCTCCTGCACCCTGGTGTCCCCTTTGAAGACATACCTACATATGAAACAAATCTCCCCCGAGGAAATGCAGCCTGTGCATACCAGTCTGCTCTGCTTCCCTTGGCTGCCTGCCCCTGCCTCCCCTCCCTCTGATCTCCGCTTCCCCAGGGAAATGCATCCTACCACACTTCCCGGCTGTTAAATACAGATTCCCTTGGGAAGTTATTCCCCCTGATCGAGCTCCTGGAGAGCCCCTAGATTTGGGGTCAGAAGTGGGGGTCACAATGTTTCACCTGTCCCCGTTGTAACACCAAGCATGGCCTTGTCGCACCCAGACCTTCCTTTCTAGCCCAATCACTTGCATGACAAGCAGGGTAGTTTTTTTTCCCTAGGAAGCAGTGGTGTGCTCATTTCCAGGCAGAGCAGACCATGATRTGGAGAAATGTGCAGCTAATTTCCTTGTTTGACGAGGATCTGTTGAGCTTAGGGAGAAGAAAAGAAGGAAAAGACCTTTYACATCTCAAACTGAGAACCTTATGCTGTGTGAGATAGCTCTTTGGACTGGGAGRCATGAGTTCCCCAGAAAGTCTGGAGAAGGCAMACCAGACCTCACTGTAGGAATGATYCTCTGCTCSCATGTAAACTGCTGMTAYGCTTGACARCCTGTGTGCCTGAATACCCACACCACTTCCCTGCAGTTCTCCTCTCCCCTCTGCACCTGAATTTTGTCTGCCTTACACCRGATCCAAACSTCTCTTTGTCTGTGTGCACTGGAGTCATCAGTGCTGGGCTTTAATGTCTTTGACATGACCAGTTGAGCATGATTTTGTACCCTGGGTGTTGACCCCAGGCCTGCTGGCATTTAGCATCTGCCATGACCAAACCAGGAAACACAGCCCTCCTTGTCACCCTGCCCAGCATCCCGTGCCCATCCCAGGGGACTTGTCACGCTCTCTGGGCTCACAGCAGCCATTCTCAGGCCTCACTGAAATTAAAGCTCCAAAGGCCCCTCTCCTTTCCCCAGGCCCTGCTTTAGCTGCTCTCCCTGCAGCCCAGACACCTCTCCACGCCGTGGCCACAGCTCCACGTGGCTCAGAGTGGCCGGGCACCAAAGCACTCACCCCAGGCACTGGTGATGTGG